GAGGTGCATACAACTCCAGATTCTCATTCAAGCGCCGAAGATGCTATGCCTCAACCGTGTAATAAATCAGCCCATACTGTAGCCTGGTACACGCCCTCCCTAATTTTCAAAGATAATCCGCTATGCCAACACCTGAGTCAAAAATTAGGGAAAACGAACCGAGCCTTGGAGATTCGTGCATTGACGCTTCATAACTTGGAGTAACTGTGTTTGGACTGTAATTGACGTATTCAGTGATTTCATGTCCAGGAGAATGACGTTGCACGTGGTGCGAAGTGGAAGCCAAAGGAAGGGATCATTTTGATGCAATCATAAAAGATCAAGCATACCTTCTGTCTAAAGAGGAGAAAAATGTCGTCTGTGCATTAGACAAGATTTTCGTCACTACTCAGACTTTACGGCTGGAACTGAAAATAGATCTTATTGGAATCATCAGTTAAAATAAGTGATTTATTTAATCGTCGGTAAATTTTTAGTAAAAGCCTCCAATAGCAGCAGGCTTCACAATTCTAAAAACAATAAAGTGTTACGTCTGTGGTGCGGGCTAACCCAATGCTGTTGGTAATAGTACAATGGTCATAGCTCCGCAACTAAATTTTCGGGAAGCATTTGCCAAAATGACGTCTACTGAGGAAATCGACGATTAAATCTTACGTGTAAGGCGTGCAAACGCGTTGGACTTCCAAAAAGGCGGACTGAATCCTCTAGTTTGATGTGGTGAAGAGTTGCCTTTAGTAATTCTTGAAATGGTCAGAGGCATCGAGATGCTTTCCTTGCCTCGGCCTCAGTGGGCTTGCCGCGAACGATTTGATGCCCGAAAAATGTAACAATGTTTGCTGCTTACGACTGACCATTAGAGTTCATTGCTTTGCAGCCTTCTTCAAATACTTTTCACTTGTTCACTCCTCGTGACGTAAGAAACAAGTTCTTTAAGGTTACACTTGGTATCAAGCACTCTCAAAGATCATACTTATTACAGCGGAATCTAGTTATTCTCTTTCAAGGACAATGGTTACTAACACTCCAATACCTTCAAGCTGCTTGATATTTAAAAAGATTGCCCACATTTTTACGTACACGTTGTATGTTCTGATTATGGTGGTGGGTGCATGTTTTCGGAAACAGACACTTCAGTCTTTCGTAATCTGCTGAAATGTTCCGACCTGTTTCAAAACATCACCTTTGGACCATTCTCACTCACTAATATGTGGTAGAGTTGTTTTCGTTAAAACTAAACCAAGCGTTATAAGCTGACTGTCAGCCCATCTGTTATCCTATTACAGCAAGAGCAGACACCAACCACGGTGGGTCTCGCGGATAAGTTTACCTTAGTAATATAAACACAATGAACAGGGTATTAATCAGCTGTATTCTGACGTCCTGCAGGTTATAGCTGGTTGTACAAAGGCTAGACAGAAACCCACAATCCTGAATCAATTCTCAGTGAAAGCTTTATTGTCTGAAAGGCCTACAGTGGCTTGTCCCCAGTGCACATGTGGGACAGCCATACACACCATTCCATGTAACATATGCAACAACAAAGAACGAGCTGTACGAACAAATGCGAACCTCGGAACGAGATATGTAGCTTGTCGCAGGACGCTCGAATGGACGGACGGAACACTTCGTCATTCAGAATAGGCCCAGTGCTGAGCAAACGGCAACAAGCCATTCTTACTTACTTCGCTGTTAGAAATATCCTCTTTCAGTAACCCCAGAAACGTCCACTCGTGTGGTATTCGAATGAATTATGGAAGTACAAAATATATGGGTCACACGCTTGTGCATGTTGGGCTTAAAATCTGCTGCCCTGCTAGACAGAAGAGGTACCCAATGAGTATCAACGTTACGACGCTAATCCACCCTGAAAAGCAACGGACAACTTCACCATTACCACCAGAGCTGAATCCAGCAGACCGTTTGGTCCCGGCAAACATTCAATTGTAGTAGACTAAAAGCAACGGACAACTTCACCATTACCACCAGAGCTGAATCCAGCAGACCGTTTGGTCCCGGCAAACATTCAATTTGTAGTAGACTATGTTCAACCACCTCAAAACAACCGAAAATACGAGAAATTTCATTTATCAAGAAAGGAAACGGAGCCCCGTTAGGACAGAGCAGTTGACCCCCGTACGCTAAGGTAAAAGACCACAGGAGAGAATTAATTTTATATAGGTCAAACATGGCATCAGACACAGAAGCCGTTTTGAATGTCACTGATTACAACCCTTTCACTCCAAACGCGTGGCTTCAGCAAACAAAAATTATTTGCTGCATAGTGCAGTTGGTGAGAACCTCAAAGAGCACGACAAGATAAAACGGTTGGCAAAATACTTCGAGTTGTCATGACCTCCGTTTGGTCGTGGGAAGTCATTTTATTGAGAAAAATCAGTGTACCTTCATAAGTGCACACATGGTCCTCCTGGATGCTGTTCTGAACACTGCATCGGCTGCCTGGATTCGCCCGTTTCGTTCATCAGTAGCTTGTTCCATGCGGTCGTTTTGTCCACGGAGCCTCGGATGTCTACCTGCATTGGTGACCAGAAAAACGAGGCTTGCTTACTGGACAACCTTGGCCGTCCTTGAGCTTCAGTTATGCACTGTTAAGTGCCGAGATGATTAGTTGGCAGGTTTCGAACCGGATTGGAACACACTGACTGGTCGCATTACCTCTTAACAAAGTATTATCGCCCCCTACTGCTAAACCACCTGTTACCTCATACTGGAGATATCCAGACAAGCCCAGACGTCAATTATGAACAGTAAAGTAAACCAAGGATAGATAAGAAGCCAAACAAGTAAAGAATATAAAATCCATGCGGCTGATGTCTATGAATCCTTCATCTCAGCACTTCTCGAAACATCCAACAAGTTACATTGTCTGATTTTGGCAGTGTTGCGGAACACAGGTAGCTCGGGTGAGGTGCTTGACTGCTGGTCCGTTCACCGAGCTTGGCGCAAACAAGGAGTGCTAAGGAGCCCTCAAAGACACGAACAAAACGGTGTGGGATACTTATGGCGGGACAAGTCTTATAGACACTGTTGCCAAGGTACTTGCGATCCTTTTCCTGCAACGTCTCCCTCAGACAAGGGGTGAACGCTCAAGGCCAAAGCAAGGTCAGTTCCTCGTAGCTCGAGATACCAATATTTCGACACACTGACAAGCAATTCCCATTCTCGAATCCTTGACTAAATATCTTTCGCAGAAGATATTACTTTGAATTTCCGCAACCCTTTACAGTCTGCGAGACCTAACCCCAGAAAGAAAATAACTGTAAGCTTGGAGCTATTATCTGCTACGTAAAGAGTTCGCCATCCAGTGATTAGATCCGAAAAAGTTCGTCAAATAAGCCTACCTCAAGCCATTTAAGACATCCAGAAAACTTTGGATGTCTATTAAACGAGGAACGTGTCTGAGTTGTCAAGAAAGCATTGGTCATCATAGCGTGTCGTGGATGTCAGCGGTCCTTCTGAAGATAACTGAAAACATGACTCATTACGGCCAAAGTCTGGTTCACAAGTGATCTTCGAGTTCATCACCGGAAGCAAGTCAGCTGCCGCATTTGAGCGGTATGTAACCGAGGCATCCTGTATCATTGGCAAGCCGCTTGAAAGCAAAAGTAGTGGTGCGCGCAGCAGATAGACTCAACTGACCTCATTATTGACCGCGTCATTAAGTTCATTCAACGCAATGTCACCAACGCGGATAAAACATTAAAGCCATTGAGTCCAATTTGGTATCGTAATAATTCCCGCATCCATTCGCTCACTCCGCCTATGCACTTTTGATCTCCACTTGATTTGCTCATCCGTATCCATCAATCGCCCTGTCACGAAGGCCGCCCCTTCCGACACCAGTATACTGAGATGTACGTGTGTGCATACATATACGTGTTTCTGCTGAGCTTACCCTGACAGTCATGATTGAATTGTGATCCCACCGTCAACTGGGATCACGAGACTGGCCTCGGAAGGGACGACGGCAAACCATGTTACCGAGCCAACGTTCGGCTCGTCTTAGCTTGGTTTGAGGACCTTGATACTGTACTACGCCGGCTGACGGATTTGGGCGTTTGTTAACGCCACGAACGTGGATGATTTACGTTTATCGTGCAGTCTTGCTTACTTCTGTGTAAACAGTGTGGTAGACTTTGGAACTCTGTTCTTCCTTTCGATATTCGGGATCGCCAAACCTGCGCGTGACTCAAAGTTCTGTATCGGGAACCTCAGCAAACGTAATGTTAAATCCACCATAAAATACTGTGAAAGACTTGGTTCCCAACTGAACAGTTTCCGTCAACATATCTCGGTGTAAAACTTTCACCGAATGCCAACTACGACTAACCGCGTGTAAAGTCAGACACAATGCAAAAACAAAATATATTCCCCGTTGATGTTCCCTACAGTGAAATGCACAGAAAATGATGACATCGAACTCTCCCATGGGGCATTTATTATGTTCCGCTGAAGCTTTGAATTATCGGCATCGATTTATGCGTCTGTTTTTGGAGAATCAACAACACCAGAGGCCTTGTCACAATGGCAGCCAAACTAACATTCGCTGCATATGACCCTTTGAAAGTGGACACCATTACCGACTTATTCCAGTTGTCTAAAACGACCTTTCCTCCTGGATAGACGCCAGATGGCGCTTCTTCTCAAGTTAAAAGGGACTGCATATGCACATTCCGGCTTTCTGTTTCAGGCCGGCAGTCCGTATTGCAGGTAGCAGGTGGCCAACTGAATTGTGGTTCGAAGTACTGGGCCCGAAAGTCCTACTTTGCTGGATATCAGCGAGCTACTCAGGCTATCGTGGTTTCGCTTCCGAGAATCAGTCGAGAAACTTGACTAGAACAGTCTGCGGACATTTCCAGCATTTTTCTCCTCCTCTATTTATTCGGCCTTTCAGCTCCACCGAGCTTTTCGGCATTCGTAGACATATCGACCAAATGATCGACCACCAATAGAGTGGTAAGCGTACGGTCAGTCTTAATCACAGCAAACTCAAGTTCAACAATTCAAGAATTTAACAAAATGGAAAATACTGCTCGACACGGGAATCATTGGAATACTAACAAAGAACGGGAAAAAGCTGAACAACATATTGTTTATCAGTTATGACACAAAAAAATAATCTGGGCCAGTAACGAGAACGGTAAGAAAATAATAAAGCTGCCAGGCGGTAGGGAGAGTAAGGCTGAACATTTGAGCATTTGAAATTCAGGGCGGTTCATGACAGAGGAGACGTAGCTGCACTCGGCCAGTACGTATCAACCAGTTTCATTTCGTGGCAAATGTACTTCTTCTCACCAACTAGAAGACAAGGATAACAGAAAACCGTGACAGGTATCGTGAAAGCCTCACACAATGATTGGCAGAAGTATCAAAGCATGGCTGTTTGGAGCCTCAAGAATGAGAAAGAGGTTGCTCTTCTCAAACAGCATCTATGAGAAAGCTCCCATGGAACCTTTTATGAGGATAAAAAGGTGTTCGGCAGAGCCCTGGGGGCTTACGGATTAGCTCCATTATGGAGTACTTAGAGATGTTCGAGTCCATAGTATGCTTCCGATAGCTCGTATTGTCTTTGTCACAGCATATTCCGTGATTAAGTCTCTAAAGTTATGGCCTGTCCACTCAGTGACTACATAGGCCGTTCGTTTGTGNTTGTCTTTGTCACAGCATATTCCGTGATTAAGTCTCTAAAGTTATGGCCTGTCCACTCAGTGACTACATAGGCAGTTCGTTTGTGAGCGGTTCATTCCTGTTGTATCGCACATGCGAATTAAGAAGACAGTCGCTACGTTGTCTGGATACCTGCAGGGAGATCATAGTGGTCACTAAATTATATGACGTAACAAAAGATCAGCAGATTACCTGGAAGGCATGAAGTGTGAACAGTTTCGATCAGCCCGTTGCTCTACTCTAGGCAGTATCTTCACAGAGAACTCATTCATCCTCATAGGGAACCATCAGTGGCGCTCATCTCACGAAACTCAGAGTTTCCGATCGCCGACCTTTCGACCTTTATGGTCAATCGCATGTTGATATTCTTCCTCATACTTTGTTACACACAGGCTAGATTTCGCTGCAAAGATGTTCAGTAAAGCATACTTTCATGCACCAAACCGCGTTAAATGTGGTGTAAAAATACTTCCACACTCTAAATATCGGCCTTACTGAACCACAAAAAAATGATTTTGCACTACATTGCTAATTGAGGAACAACAAAAAAGGTCGATTCGTCAGTTCAATTGAATTTCCCGAGAACAGCGAACACTACGCAAATGAGTGATTCGGCCCCTATCATTAAATGAATAGTAGAGCTGTGCAAGAAACAGACTGAAGCAGCAACACGGACACAGGACCGCGGACTTCACATCCCAATTATGGACGAGAACGTGCAACGCCAAAACCAGCCAGCACATTCAAAGAACAGGGTATCTGGGTCACAGCTATCAATCGATGAAAATGTCCCTTACTTGTTTCAATAAAGAATGTGGTGCTGGACAAGCCCATTCAGCCGACCGGGTAAGCGCCAGCTAACTGAGTGCCTCGGGAGTGTCTGTTGTACACACAATATTGACTGAAGCTACACCCAGCAGCAAAAGAACTTGCCCAGGCAGTCCAGATCATCGGGATAATATGCGAGAGCCAAGCAGCCATCTTCTGAGTAGTAGCACGTTTCTGCATTGTATTTCTGATGCCCTGAATTTTTGTCCCGATAATTGTAGAGAAAATGTGATAGTCCCCAAGTTGACTGTGGTCAGAACCCGACCAATTTTAAGTGAAAACAAGCGTTTCGGGGTTGAGGCGAACGCTCCTCAAAAGGTATCCTCTGTTGTAATCTGCAAAGATTTTTACTTCCTGAGAACTTCCGACAGTGAAAATTATTCGGACCACCAAAACCACTTCCTAATGAGAGGTTGCTTATTGGGTAACGATCGTCGTTGGTGGGGCTTACCCTCCAATCCCGAAAGTGAAAAACTGAACAGCGCTGGAGCTCAAATCCACTGACCCGAAATAACTTCGTGCGGCTATATATTGCACAAAATACAAAGGTGAGGGAAAAGTTATCCTTTCCTTAGCTTATCGGCTGAATAAAGCAGTGAGAAAAAACTTCTAGGTATAAGGAAAACTGTGCTTCAGTTGAACAAAGATACATTTCCTTAGGTGACAGTGTGAATACCTTTGTATAGAGACTAAACCAAAAACCCGATTTTAACGGGTAACTCTTTAGGTGACTATTAGGCCGTTGTATTGAGTACACCCCAAATGCTGGGACCCACTGGAAACAAACGAACTTTGATACCTCATGGATGTTGGTTTGCAGGGAGACAAGCCTGTCGGAAGCATAAATGACAAAAACCCTGCCGTTTCTTCCCATCACCTATGAAAAATACGCAATCATAGTGCTAATAACTTAAAATGAAAAAATTCAACAAACTAGATGGATGGCGCATGCAGCTTACCACCGCCTGAGATTTGTTCATACACGAGGCGTACGGAAGTACGCACTGGTTGGTCTGCATCCAACTGCATAATCCACAAAGACGGAAGGATGCTAAAAAGAGAAACAAGCAGTTAACTGATTAGGAACAAATAGAGAGCATGAAAATACAGAAGCAGCATCGCCACCTCAACCCATAGTGCGCTCCCATCGAAGACCAACTTAAGCTTTGGCAACAGACTCGAGGCAATGACAATCATCCAGTGTGAGGGACCATCAGCCGTGTGCATCAAATTGTCACGTATGATTTTTACCAGATTAACCACAGCGATGATAATTATCGGAAATATCCCCATATTGAAACTGCGAACATATGGTTTCGATAGATTGATGGTAATTACTATATGAAACCTCGTCCAGTCATTGAGGCCAATCTATGCAGAGAGCTCGAGAAGCACCGTGCAATCCCCATTTGTAGCAGTATGCATCTCACGAAACTCAGGTTTCCAACTCGCGACATCCCAACCAGCGGTTGAACACTTAACCATTAGGCCACGAGCGGCTAAACCGCTTCTGACAAAGACGCCAACGAAACACTAGCTTCACCAAACTTGATGTTCTGATTTAACCTGAGGATATCCGTATGAGTTGAACTGAGATCGAAATAGGTTTGAATATAGGGTGTCTCCGGGAAAAGCAATCGCAGACCGCTAAAACACCCGTTTTCTGGAAGCTCAATGGAATGGATACGAACTCGGCAACAATGGGCGGAAGATGGCGAGCCTTGCTTCATTTCACCAGCTTGCTCTACTGACTGTGAAGCAGCATCTCCGGTCAAGCTGACACGGTGAAGTGAGAGAGTCTGACTACAGAGCACTTCCGATCGGCAAACAATATATATATATATATATATATATATATATCACTTGCTGAATGAAGGTTTATTCACATCCCTGGAGATTTCTCGTAGCACCGTCAGTTCAACAGTCGAACTTGATGAGATCCGGAAAATCTGCCTCAGTATGTGGAGACTTAGTCTACGAACTCGAAACTTTGATGGAATAAAGTTCACCAAGCTGTTTCTATCACTAGTCTGTCAGAGTCAATCACTGCAAAACAGCAGGACTGAGAATCGTGATAACCATGACAAAAAACAGGCACAGGTATGACAACTTTGGTTACTAGGCACACAGTTGATGAAAAGCCCAGTGATGGTGATGGCGAATGATGACCACAAGTCTGCGATACAGTTAACAAACATTTCCGAGCCACCAATATTCCGAACAGTTGGTGATGAGAGAAAAATTCAATTTAAGGATGGATTCCAGAAGGACTTAAAAGTCAAGCCAGGTCTAGAAAATGGTGGTAATCTAGCCGAACCCGTTAAAGAAGAGGGCAAAATTGAACTTCAATAAGTGTAACCTACCCGGAAATGGGAACCAGGAGCTCGGACACAGGTAGTTCGAATTGATGCCGCACTATGAGAGGTGTGTCACTGCATAAAAGAGAGCGCCACTCATTCTTTTCATCGGGTTTATTGAGTATCTTCCTAAAGGATATGAAAACAATGAATTGTTCCAACGGGCGTAAATGCAGGAAAATAAAGAACGAGACATAAAAACTCGAAATAAACCATTTAGCGCAACCTGTACGACTCACAAAAAGAGCTTTAAACACTTGTCAATATGAGGCCCATTAGAAGAGCCGAAATACACCATATTAAGGAGAGATTTTCTCTGTGTTTGATGGGTAGTGTACTTTACAATAAGCGCAGACGAATGGGAAACGAATTTATCGATATTCTAAATAATTAGGCACGGATATTTACTTCTTGAAAACTTTCAAACAGTTAAAATAAAGGTGCTGTCCGGTGAAATCACCAGAAGTCCACCATCATTTCCTATTGTGGGGAAAGCAGTCACTTAGAGTATGCTGTTAACAGGGATTCCTAAACAATGGTTACGCAAAGGAACTGATACTGGCTAGACCACACGGATTTCTTGGTATCCAACACTCAGGACTTTGAATATACCGACCATATGAATGCGCACGCCTTTAAATTGCGAAGCTGAAATCCATTTATCAATAAATCCGTGTTTGGATTACTTCCGGAGGAACCGCAGGAAAATTCCCGTCCTCAAAACTTTCAGTGAAAACAGTTTCATCGCGCTTGCTCAGTAAGATGCACGAGTTCACACACGGTCAATATCAGATACACAAGCTGAGCTGACAACAAGGGTCTCATCAGAACTAAAGGGTGCGTAATTCCGAGTCACGTAATCGGTCAAAATCAGGCTAGTGGGTGGATGGGCGAGTCACACCATTGTCCTGGCCATTTAGCTTCATCCATGTGGAACGCTGTCTTGTGCTGTAGAGCTGTATGTGGACACGGATACCTGTGGATGGTGAAGGCCATCAGACCACGCTCTACATAGACTGGTTAATTGTTCTTCTGCTTCGACAATTGTAGAGCGCCAGTAGGCTTTCGGACCAATCCCACTTATTCGTTATTTGGTCTTATTTTTCGGGTTTGAACCAGGTAGATGGTGCTCAGCCGGCTGCGTAAGTTGCTCACCCCGAACCGCATGAGGAATTGCATGGGCGAAAGTAGATATAGCAGGCAGAAGCGGATACAAGCTGGGCATGTGTAACGATCACCACAAGCTTCCCTCTTTACATCAAGGCTTTATCAGCGGTAAACTAAAGTAACCAAGAAGTAGTGATCAGCGAAACGGTGATATGGGTTCATTTGAAGAATAGTGATAACGAGCGTGGCGGTCAAAATAGAGTACCAATTTATTTAAAGCACGATAGTGTGGTGCGCTTTCATCGGGCCGTTCACGACAGAAACAGTCCAGTTTTGGTGTAAACGCCTGCTTTCTCGCGAAACATTACTCTATCGGAAACGGTACTACTTAAGAGGTTACAGTCCACCAAGTGAATCTGACAAAAATTATACAGAACTTTTAGGGTACTCTTCAGAGGTTACTCAGAGATTTTTCCTACCACCATATAAAACGCCGGACAAACGTACCAGTGTCTTGCGAGTGCTAGTAGCTATGTCAGCAACCAAACCACATGCACCAATAGTCTACCAAAACCGTGCAAACGCAAGGCAATCACGTACAGGAAGATGAGGTATTCTATGTTGTTGTGTGTCATGCTGTCCGAATTGCAGAAGGCGTGGAAACAAAAAACGTCGGAAAAAACATGTAAAACACAAGGAACTGACTGTAATTCGGATACGAATGCCTGTTTAGAACAATGTGAAGTGAAACTAGCAAGGAAGCAACTAGCTTTGTAGAGGTGATAAAGGCAAGCCCAACGATACTCCAAACTCCATGATTTATCGGGATCAGGTGAGGATAGCGCCACTTCCGGGACAACTGAAGAGACGGACAGAAAGGAGAAATCGAGTCCAAATGCGTGTGACATGAATAGAACATAATCAGTTGGTTGTGTATTGTCTAGTATTTCTAGAATGAAATAAATGGGTAACCTGCAGTAGCAAGCAAAGAATGAATGAGAGGTGAAAGTTAAAGTTAGGACGAAACTAGATCTTATAATGCACGTGAGATACTGCAGTTTATTAGGTAGAACTAAGTGTCGATGCGACATTAACTAGCTGGTATTTCCTATGTTTATAGGTGCTTCTAAACTTATCTTTTTTTATCAGAATGGAAAAGCCTAAAAGTTGTTCCCACCGAGCAACTTTCTATGGGTGTACCTCTTTGCAAACGTATGGATGTCATGTAAAATCTTACAAATGAATACGTGTAAAGAAAGTGGTTGTGGTTCTCACCTGTATAAACACTCTCTACCTAGACCTAGATCATCTGACAGAGCTAGAGAAACCTCTCCGGGCTGCAACAGCAGCATATGATAGCAAACTGATAATAAACTGTGCCATACCATATCAGGGAATCTTTGCTCAGGATGCAGGACTGATTACACAGGTGGCTAGTTGTTTCGAATGATACGCCCTGCAGAGCAACAGGTTCTGACGTTTTGTAAATCTATACGATGGAGAAACTGATGGCCTAGCGTACGAACAAATCAAGCGATAGAGAGGCGCCGTACATAAAATCGGTGCGGCCATCAGTAATGATGATGAAACTAAGCGGTACTAAGGTTCTGGGTGAAACATGCTTGAACTCTCAGCGAATATCCACGGGAAGACGTAATACCATATGCTTTTTGGAGAACCCAAAATCGTAAGTGAAACAAACGAGTTTTAAGTACAGTAGCAAACAGACTACAACCAAGTTCTACAGGGAATATTTCAAATAATACGTGGGCGGACAACAGTGGCCGTTATTAGGGTTCGCTGTGTCATGGTGCCATAAACCGGAAGCTAGTGAGCAGCGTTATACATCTGGGTGAAGGCTTTCAGAATAAATCAAGTGACGGATTGGGACACTGCGATTGGCAGTTTCCCATCAATATTCAAGTACTCAGCTAACCGTCCGATGAGATCCGATCTGTCGCATGTGAAAAAGCTGACCAACCAAACTACTCACGAGTAGACAAACGCTTCCACAGTTTCCAAAGGCTCCTTCTCCAAGTTAACCAGCATTTTTGTTCCCATCGGATGTTTCGGATTGTTACCATCCGAATAATCAACGCCGACCAGTGACGAAGATGTGCCTGCATCCATAGACGAAGATTAAGACTCTGATGTGCACTTGCCATCAAAGTATTCGCACCGTAAACATACAACCCGATTTCGTCGGATTTGTTGAGATAGTTCAGACACTGCGTTTTGAAGAAACGGTTATCGGCCTTTCCGGCTAGGCGCACTTTTGCGATAAAACTCAAGATTGTCCACTCTAAAAGTTGGCTGCCCCAGGACTTCCAGTTCATTGGCATTCATCCATGTATGTAGGACGTAGTACTAAAGGTTCATAGACAGTGCAAGGAAACTTTGAATGAATGCAAGGTACTGCTGTCCGCGAATTTCCACTTTGTTTGTTTGAATAAACAGAGGTAATCACCCCGAGGCGGGTGTGTAGCGGAGATACGAAAACATCACCATAGTAACAGCAAGCGCTGCAGATCACGTGATGAATGTCGTATATTTCAGAAATAGGGAAAGTTGGAGAATTTTGAATTAGCGAACCTTCCATTACAGTTTGAAGCCGTGATAAAAACCAGCAGCTGACGACCTTCAATGTAGCATGCATTCGTATCGTTTTTTGGCATTTCATGTAACAGGATGCCACAGTATCACGAGCTTTGGGCATGTGCCTCGCACCAACAAAGCGCAAAGCCATGCTTCAGAAGGTGTAGTATGTGAACAAGCCTCTTGCAATGCACCGATAGGTGTATTAGCTCTGACTGAAGTGTGTCTGGTGAAGTCAGTCTACAAAAATCTCGAAGGTCCGAATGACATTCGCCAATTCGCACCGTTTGTGGCATCAAAGAAATACTACGTCATACGGGTCGAGTGAATCCGGCTACAGTAAGGGCTGCGTTGTTGTAGGGTTGTGAGATATGGTCTCTGCATACAGATGGTTGTTGACCACAGATGCCTCAGAAGCGTTGCTGGCATTGGATGGCGTCGACGAATTCGTAACGAGGCAAGTAGAAAATGATGTTCGATTGTGCAGCGGATAGATCGGTGCATCCTGCACGATCAAGTGCGGCTGTTCGGCCATGTGTCACAAATGCCAAATCATCGTTTACCGTGATGGGCGCTACCCTCCAGAATGGTTCAAACAGCGTAGAGGGCAAGGCAGAATAAGGATGAAAGAGTATGAAGAGCGTGGGAGCTGTTGGTGCCGTCCATCTTCCAGAAATTGGTCCTTGTGACTTGTACTTCTCCAGAAACGTTGAGAGAAATGGTGCCTAACCGATGTTCGCGCCATTCGTGCTTCCGACAGTGAGTGGATCCAATTGGATATAGAAGTGTCCGTATGTTGTGTAAACCTTAATATTTCAGCAAAATGGAAGTTTCGAAAATAGAAACACAAAACATTTATTTGAAATAGAGCGTGCAGGTCCCTCGAAGATTGAGAAAAACCTAGATGCTGTTGGGGCAATGTGCTTTCCAGGATAGGGTCCGCATGATTCGCACTGTGCCTGGTTGGAGGCGGTGTATATGACTGCCGAACCATGTCAACGACATTCTTGTTGTCAGTTTCTTTCTGGATTCCCTGAACGAGTGTCCACGGAATGATTGTGATAGGCTGGTGTTGAGACCGTTCTCCATTCAGTTTCAGTCTTTTCTCCACAATGAGGCTTCCAAATGAATCATGTTTGAATGGTACCGAAGAATCGGTGTTCAATATGAATTTTGTGCTGTCGATTTTGATGTTGATACTGTCAGATATTGAGCCCGGTTGGACGGGCTTATTTGGCTAGTCATCGGGCAATCTATCAAGAAATTTGAATCCGCACCATTCACCTCCGGCATTAAACTTGAGTGAAGCTGGTTATGCGAGGTACGAGTAACGAATGAGTAAGGATCATATACACCTGACAAAGCGAGCACACAAACCTGGACTAGAAATGACAGACTGATAAAAATAGGATGCAATCAAAAAGCAGACCTAAAGAGTATCCCTCCAAAGTAGGTGCTGCGACGATATACCGGTTGCTTCAGCTTCTAAGGTGGCCAAAAAACTGTATCACCAATTATTTTATTATTTAGACAGACCAATGTTTCTCAGCGCATAAACATATAGGGACTGGACAGCTCCGTTCTTTTTCACGTGGAGATTCCACCGAAGTTTTCGTGCTCAGAATCCTTCGCCTGATCACCCGACTACGACTCAACGTTTTTGTACGTATGTTGCTCAGCCAATTTATCTCAACAACGCATCCGTTCTAAGAACAGTGAACAACTCAACCTAAACAGATCCTTAAGAAATGATAGCTGATTACATTGACCTACTTGCTGAACAATTAAAATAGCAGGAAAAAGTAGAGATGAGTTGTTAACCAGAAAAGTGAATAAAAAATTATGCGAACTTACAGGGTTCCAATAAACACAGACAATCGTTGGTTAGTTTGTTAAGACCCAGTTCTAACAAGGATTCGATCCCAAACGGAAAAGGAACTCCAGAATCGATGTTCACAGGGCCACCTCGACTTAGAAGAGAACGTAACTTGATGGCCAACTGAGTATCGTTTCGCCGATGCAACTAAGTAAGGCATGAGTGAAAAAAAGAATAGAAACTGAGTATGCATCAGGACTGTTTAGCGTCGAAATTCACTGAACTGCAAATTGAAAAATGTCACCGTGAGCAGTTGCCTTGGTTTTGTAACACAGTGGAAACTTCCTTAGACCGACGACTTCTAGGAATTCCCGTCAGGGTTTTGTTGTGAGCCTTATACAGCGATCTCATAATCAGTCTGGAAGCAACGGTTGGGATAGATCGGTTGAGTCATCATTTAAGTCGGAAGTCACTAAAATTAAAGAACGGATGACGACTTCACAGCAACATACCATAAAGCTCACTTCGTATTCGATGTCCAATATAATAATATCTGCAGAGAAGCCCTATTTTAACTTTTGAAGACTGGTATATTATATAACGTCATGATGAGGACAAATGTTGCGGAAACTACTACCTCAATGATGAAGGAAACAACGAGTACTCAGTTATTGAGAACCCGATTTATTTTTAAGTAAGCACATTTTTATGGTGCGACTATTATCCCCGGTAAAGCTAAGTTGGTGGGTGAAACTGCCAGCCAAAAAGTGCTTCGGTAAATTACGATATCTACCGCTTACTACGGTATACTGTATAGTAAGAGAACTTTCAACGATCATAGTCGTAGTCACCACAAACAAAGAAAGCCAAGCGACTTCATAAGGCATAAATAATTTCCTATCAGGGCTAGTTTCCCCGTTGATACCTTGTTTTGTGAGTCATGAAACACTGTACAGAGGCGCCCTGTTCTCATCGTCAGTTTCATTCCGTACGACTCCGCGTCCGGCTGAATCGGAAAACATTTGTTCCGAGTTTTCGAGTTACCACGGTCATGGAACATGGTGACGATAGCCCAAATGACTGCGTATTACGATACCGGAAAAAGGTTTAAGAACTGTCGTCAGAGCCAACAAAACTACCGAGGTCTGCGAAGCGCTCCAAAACCTCCAATGGTTCTCCCCGAATTGCAAGAGGTATGTTTAGAGACGGTGCGTTCTGACTCACGACTCCGGACTTTGAAAATGCAAGGCGCATTTTAGAAGATTGTGGCATGATGGCGGCCAGTTTATTTAACGGGGTTTGTGCATCGCCTTCGTCTTCAAAAGTGAGGACGATGTCGTCGACGATAAGCTTTTCATCAGCAACACTTTGAACACCAGGGTTTTGAAGACGTTCCAACGTTCGACTTAAAAAACACGGATTTTGCGTCTGCATCCTTCAAACAGGCTGTTCACTTGTTATATGATCAATTTGGGACCGATAAGAACAGAGCTCCTAAAGTATCATTGCGTACTGGGTGTGAAACGCAACCGGTAAACTTTATTGACCGATACGTGATTCTGCGTCGCACTCTACCCATGAAGCTCGAGGTCTCCATAAGTGTGGCAATTTTTTTCTCATGATGTGACCCACTCGAATAGTCTCAAGCCGACAACAACCCTGGTCATGTTTTTGGGCTAAATGCTTTGGTTCAGGATCCTAATCATCCTGCTGTTTACGTTTTGGCACCCCCGCAGTACTTCAGCACACATACAACCTTGAGCCTTACAGGTAAAAGTACCTTTATGCTACATCAGCCGTCGCTTGGTGATATCAGCCAGGTCACCTTATTCGTTGAATGCTGGACAGGCTGGATAAGCGATAACATGCGACTGCCGACATATCTCATCTTTCTTAACTCCCGTCCTGCTCAAGTGACAACCGGTNTTATGCTACATCAGCCGTCGCTTGGTGATATCAGCCAGGTCACCTTATTCGTTGAATGCTGGACAGGCTGGATAAGCGATAACATGCGACTGCCGACATATCTCATCTTTCTTAACTCCCGTCCTGCTCAAGTGGACAACCGCTCTTGTGTAGCTCCCAGTTCACTCGTTCATTCGACACCCATGGAAATGACATATACGGCAGTTAAGCACCAGCAGGCATGACGGATGGTGACGATGTTTGTCCCTGCTCCAATGCAGGCCGGTTTGCGTTCGGCCATCGTTTGCACCAGACACCATGCTGCATGACCCACACGGTTTGAGTCACAACCACGAACGAATAAATCAACTTGGAATACTCGCGGAACGGACAAACTAGAATGTGGATATTTGCCAGTAGTCCGATTGCCTGACTGAGAAAACACCGGTGACCCACACAGAAACCCATCTATTTGATATCAGCTACAAAAAGAATGTGGACGCTAAAAGAGGAAATGCTTCAAGTTTTGCATAAAAAGTTCGTTAAAGCTGAGTAATCTTATGAGTATCAAACTAATTTCCTGAGGATGTTTTGACCCGGAGATCACGAAGGACGTAGAATATCATCGGAAGGTTGTAAAAATAGCAAACAAGGACACCGTCCAAAGCAGCAATGAAGAGGCTCAAGAAAGCGGGATTTACAGTTAACGCAAGCTATTTAAGACGACTTACCTCCAAAACCTCCCGATGGTCAAGAAGGTAAGCAATCGCACTGTTCACAAACGAGCGAAATGCATGACCGGAAGAAACTCCTGGAATATGAAAGTAGAGTAGAATGATCTGCAAGATATAGTTTTGGTGCTGAGAAAGCAGTGCTTCAGATTGAACGCAACTGGAATAGAGGGAGAATAGTCGCTAGTTCGTTTCTTGCTGGAAGCATAGCTGATTGTCGTCTATTCGACGGCAGTAAAACAAACGATAGAGAAATTGAGATAGGAGTGGCCAAACCATGGACAGCCAAAAGTACAGGAAATAATTGGATACAGTTTATCTAGGAAGGGTTGATACCTAGCTAAATTTGCCATGCCGTTCAGAATACTATCTTAACGGAAGACCAATGCGCGCGCACTGACCATGTCCTCACGACTGGTGACGAAACGTTCGTAAGCCAACCACTAAGCTCAGCAAGCAGATTAATAGCCACCTGATCTACAACCAGCTAATACACTCGAGCTACCAATATATCTATATTCTGCCAAATTCACCTTTGGGTAACTGAGTTTCACGATAACCAGTATCTGTTTGATCGCGTCAGAGAGGCTACTTTCAGCACTTATTGATGTTCCGGATTTCTTACTCACGTTCTAGGGTTTGTGATGGCCCTGAACAGCCAAAGCCTAAGCAGGAGGAGTAGAGATGCAGAGGTTGGGTTAGAACTGCGGACTTCGTCTGTAAGCTGGCGCCTTAACCACTGAGATATCTAGACGGCAAAAGAATAGCACTACACTGGGTATTTTTTATTCGAAACCGACCACCAGCAACCCTACACAAGTTACCGAGTTACTGTTATTACCGACTGGGTCTGTACAATCCCTTGTAGCACTACGATTGTCTTGTTTGAGATGACCACGTTGGCTTCCATATGTGAATACTTAGAGCACCTAGGGCGTTTGAACCGAGCACCTGAAGTACACCTTGACCAGTTCGGTGGTTCGTTTTGCTCTTCTTGCATCCCCTTTGCACTGATGCGTGAAATAATTACAAGGTCATTTAGTTTCCTACAATAAGCCAGTTAAACTGAGATGGAAAATATATCAGAAAGGGGACAGGAAAAGACTCGAAACGTTGTTTTGTGAAGAGTGACTAAACAAGCACGAGCTAACGGTAAAAAATGATATGTGAAATGAATACACGACCATTCTGTATCTCATATGTCTTAATCGAACTGAGCCAGAGTTTGCGCGCTACCAAGCTTTCGCTACGTATTTCCACTAAACAGCCCTTTCACATGGCACAAAAATAAGAACTAAAAGTGTGACACCTAACGACCTATCTAACAAAGCTCATTGGTGTGATATGGAGAGGAGAGAAAGTGCCTGCACAAAAAGGCGCATCGACAGTTACTCCTAACTCCAAAAAGGCCACGCAGATGCTGTGTGAAGACCCCAGTGGCATCAGCCTGGTGGTTGTGGCATCGAAGTTGCTCTCTGGGCTTATCCTTCGGAAGTTGACTGAACGCAGGGAGAGACAGATTCGTGAAAACCAACCCGAGTTTCGTTCTGCAAGAGAATGCATTGATCACATTTTCACCCCTGGGACAGATTCCGAAACAGCGACACTGGTCCCAGCAACCAACAATGCGAATCGGTCGATTGACGTAGTAGACAATCTTGTCTACCTGGGAAGACTTTTCAGTCAAAGCGAGCTAGCGAAGAATGATATTTCCATCCGGGTTGGGAAGACCATCACGGCTTTTGTAATCCTGTATCAGCTGTGGCGTAGAAATGACATCAGCTTATCCGACAATGGTCGAGTCTACAATGCTACGGTTCGTTCCACATCAATATACAGGTCAAAAACCTGGCAGGTGCGTGCCGAGGAAGTCAAAAGACTCTCACTGTTTAACCATTGATGTCTTCGGAGCGTTGCCCGAGTCCGATGAGAACATCGGATCAGCAATGCTGGTTTTCGGGAAAATAACTTGTCTACGATTCATTAACTAACCGAACTCCACAGGTTGCGCTGGCTTAGTCACGTGTGGCGTATACTACTCACCGAGATCCTAGGAGAGTTCTTTTCCCACAACCATGTGAATGTCATAAACGAGCTAGGGGAGGGTAAACAGTGGTCAGGCAACGAAGTAAGGAAGCTACTACAGCAAACTCAGCTGCGCTGTCCATTGCCATCTCCCTTTATGGGGATTTCGAGACGAGACACAGCAATGGCTAGAGATATTGTCAGACACTGCCAAGTCGCGCTCTCACTTGCGCTCATGCATCCAAGCTGTCTTCAATCCAGAGTTCCCCTCTCGATATCCCAAATGGAAAGTCCAGTGACAGCCACGTATTTACGTATCAATTATATCAGCTACCTCTTCCAATGCGCAGCTATCTAGCCCACCTACTCAAATCATTGGTGAACGAGTGGCAGCTGGAATGTCATAAACGAGCTAGGGGAGGGTAAACAGTGGTCAGGCAACGAAGTAAGGAAGCTACTACAGCAAACTCAGCTGCGCTGTCCATTGCCATCTCCCTTTATGGGGATTTCGAGACGAGACACAGCAATGGCTAGAGATATTGTCAGACACTGCCAAGTCGCGCTCTCACTTGCGCTCATGCATCCAAGCTGTCTTCAATCCAGAGTTCCCCTCTCGATATCCCAAATGGAAAGTCCAGTGACAGCCACGTATTTACGTATCAATTATATCAGCTACCTCTTCCAATGCGCAGCTATCTAGCCCACCTACTCAAATCATTGGTGAACGAAAATGTGGCAGCTGGAGCCATTGTACGGCAGGTTCGCGGTTGTTGCAGCTGACGATGATTAGTAATCAATAAAATTAAGCAAACAGTACGAATGACGGAAATAAGAGGTAAAAAGTTCGGTGATGGAGAGATTCAAAGATCAGTCCACACAGGCTGACAGTCAGTATTCCTCCACTTCGTGTCCTCAAATTGGGGTCTTGCAGTCCCTTCTGAATCACTGACATTCCTTCTGGAAGATCACCACACACCCTTTCGGTTGTGATAACCACTGTTTTCTTAGATAGCTTCGGGAGTCCTCTTCACCATGAGACCACTTTACTCGTGCAACAAACGTCAAACTCGCCTCCTTATAGGTTTACGACCGATTTCATGTCTGGACCAAACATAATCCGATACAAAAACTTGATACTATATCTCTCCTTCTCCAAAGAAAGGCCGATAACCGGGATTCCCCATCAGTCTTTAAAATAAGAATTTCTATCTCTGGAGATGTCGTTCCTTACCCCCCAGAATTAAATTTTTTACCCCGTTACAAACTCTACCCCGAAAAGCTTGACCATTCGTAGACAACGCAAGAAGCATCGTTTATATCAAGGGGCATGTAGCAATCCCAAGCTATACGACTTACAGAGCACAAACGGAAATTGGAAGTCGCCATAGTAACCGAACCCAAGGAATACAGACCAAGGCACAACAAAAATCGGCAACGGACCAATCAGAACGGGGACCTCAAACCATAGAAAAGAAACTGTTCATCCAAAAACACTCGAACACGGGCAATACAGACGACAACGCAACACAAACTGCGAAAATACCAACAAGAATATAAGAGGTGTATAACAGTCGATCAATTATAGAGAATATCAGATACTCCTTGAAAATTATGTAAGGAGGGTAAGGAGAAAATACCTACTTCGTTGCGCGCTGATGATGTCCCCTCGATGAAAGACGAAACATCTGCATGCTAACTGCCAAGCTCGGTGGACCGATCAACGGCCACCTGATCATAAAACCAGTGAAAGCACCCGAGCTACCAGTATTTCGATACTGTCAAATATCATTGAATACTGTAGAACTGTAGAACTGAATGTAGCACACAGACGTGCATAGAGAGGGTGTTCCGAAAGGCCCCCTACGGAGGGTCAAAAGACTTTTCCCATGTGGTAGCATTTCACCACGAAAATCACTGCAGTTTGGGACTGAGGCCATATTCTACCGTTAAGGGACAAAACCTGTTGCAGCAATGGTATCCCAGTATAAACCAACCGTGGAACCTGACCGAAAAGGTTCCGTTCTGGAGTGGATCCCTATGAGAAAGGATCGACCAAACCCCGAAAAGGCCTTTCGTCAAATGCTTAATTTATGAGGAAATTTACGCTTGCTTGCATTTCATGTTGTTCATCCTTTAGTTGGTCCCGTTAGAGAGGTAACTCCTGCACAATAGCCGATAAGCATGAAAGGCCATTTGAGATCTAAATGTTCAAGTTCTTTCCTACGGTCTTAAAATGAGTCTGTTGTCGCTTGTTATCCACCAATTCCTCTTCCTTGGGTCTATTCGTTGCGCAATCCTCAAATAAATCAACAAGAGTATCACCTATCCAGAAGTAGTGAAAGGAACGTCTAAAGAACTAGTGGTGGCAAGCTGGCCCGTTTTAACAAGCCATGTAGTACACCTTAGCTTTGACCCTAGTCATACGTGCCGATGGAATGCAAAGTCAATGTTCAAAGCTGCACCTTACTAAATGTTCATGGTTGCTACGCTTAAAAAACTGATTGGATACATTAACTGACGGTACCAAACAAAGCCGACAGAATATTATGGACCTTAACTGGGTGAAACCATACAGTAGTGTCATATATTCCGAGTGATCTCATTATTAGTGCAGGTTGTCTCACACATATTCCAAACGCTATTGCCGTTAGGATACGGCAAGGTGTTTTAAGAAACAACTTTGGTGGCATACCAAAAGGGACACATATAGAGGATGAGCACATTAGATCATCGCTGACCTTTAATGGTCACTGGCACAAGCGTATCTCTGTCCTGGAAGAACAGTATACTCACATATGTCAATGACAGCAACATCAGTGTTGGCACNGGTCCAGTCTCTTCGTGACGGGTCCAGTCTCTTCGTGACTCACATATGTGTACCACAGTACATCGACATAAGTTGTATGTGAAAGTTACGAAATGGTTAGCGGAGAGCGCGATAACACACGATCTGAAGAGGGATGGAAACGCAATGGAGGTTTGCGATACAAGCAGAAAAAATTGGGAACTCGTTTGAAGGCTATCCACAGAAGTGGTGCCCAATCATTGCAGGAAA